GGCCACAGGCAAGGGAGCCTGATGGGAAGCGGGGCCACTGGGATTAGAACCGGCGCCCATATGGGATCCTGGCACATGCAAACCAAGGACTTTAGCCGCTAGGCTACTGCGTCAGGCCCTCAAGTAGATTTTAAATTTTTAATTAGTTGCTAACATTTCAAAATTGCAAAACTTTATATATACACATCAAGTGAGAGAGGAAAAAGAAAACTTAAAATTTCGACTTGCCTTGAAAAATGAAATGAGCTACACACTGCTCAGCACTTGCACATGGCTGCTTAGAGGTCAGTATCAACCTGGCTTATGGCTTCCATTTCTCCACCCTATCTACTAGGTCTTAGCAATTCTCCAGTTAACAATTATCTTTTTATGAGCATTTGATAGACAGCCCTGTGCTTAAAGCATGTACATGAAAAGGAGACCAGTTTAATAACATGGGACAAACAAAAGATCATTTTACAATTTGGTGTGTATAAACAATGACAGGCTGTATGAATAAAAGGCCATGATCTTGGTAGAACTCATACAAGGCAGAAAGTAAACATTTAGGGCAATGAACATGAAGGCCCCAAGGCTTCTTCAAACAATTTGCTGAACTGGCATAATGTTACATTCGAGCACATGTGTTATCAGTTTCTCCTTCTTCACTTCTCCACTTCTGTCTTTGAGACAGGCAATGTACCTGCAGTTTTTTCTAGTTGTCTTATAGGCCTATCAACACATGCAGTCCACAAATAGAAGCTGAGAGAAGATGGATGAAACGTTCCATCCAATGCTCAATGTATGAAGTCCTCCTTTTCTGGACCATGACAAATGTTCGGTTGATGTCCTTGGGTGTCATTCATCAGCAGAATATAGGTGCGGGCCGAAACACACAACACTTCTTAAGTACCAGGAAGGGAATTTAAAGAGTGATGATTTTTTTTTAAAGATTTATTTTTATTATTTTTTCATTGGAAAGGCGGATATACAGAGAGGAGAGACAGAGAGGAAGATCTTCCGTCCAAGTGAGCGCAACGGGCCGATACTATGCCGGTCCGAAGCCAGGAGCCTCTTCCGGATCTCCCACGCGGGTGCAGGTTCCCAAGGCTTTGGGCCGTCCTCGACTGCTTTCCCAGGCCACAGGCAGGGAGCTGGAAGGGAAGCGGGGCTGCCGGGATAGAACCGGCGCCCATATGGGATCCCGGGCGTGCAAGGCGAGGACCTTTAACCACTTGCGCCACCGCGCCGGGCCCGAGTGATGATTTTTTTATTAGGGTCGAAGGAAGGAAGAGGCTAGGAAGAAAAGGCTAAGTTTTGCTTATTTCAGTGACTATTTTGAAGCACCAGAACAAGAAGACCTGGAGTCCTACAGGAAATTGTAGAGGAGCAAATCTGCCTCCTCACTTCTTCATTACTTCTCCACTCAGTCCTCTTAGTGCTGAAGCAAACAGGTGCCCACCCACCTGAGACCCCAGATCCAGTCCTCCAGGGCTCCCAAGTTATTTTGCTCTTAATTTTACAAATTGCCTTTAATGTTCTTATTGTGTCATATATTATGATCTCTGTACTAGCTGATTTTCTGGCTTTTGGTTGGATATTTCATCCTTTCTACCATTAACCAGCAATTTGGCTACCTCTCTGCCAGCTGGAAATCAAGCGTATTAGTGAGTCCCAAGCCCAGTCCGCCAGCAGACCAGGTCAGCATGCCAGTTAGGGCCATAACACCCGTTCCCCTATCCCTGCCTTGGACCCAAACACATTTGGGAACTTGCAGGCCCATTCCGCTCTTCTGGCCCCCAGGGCAAGTCCCCAGACTCCTGGAGGCTGAAGAGAGGTGCCTAGGTGCCCAACAGAAGGAAAACTATATACTAGATTTTTAAAATTTCTTTTCTGAACATTAAGAGAGATTTTATTCTTAACAGGTACAGTTCTATCAAAATAACTAAACTTCCCTCACTCTCCTATCCCACCCTTAATCTCCCCTCCTTCCTTTCATTTTTTCTTAAATATTTGTAGAGGTATATTTTAAGTCTCCTCTATAATCACAGGTTCAATTTAACATTAACCATGATATTCAACCAGCAAACAGTAGCAAGAGCACAGTCCCACAGGAGTGTAAACGAGGACTGGAAACAACACCAGTATGATTAAACAGGATGAAGTTCCTGGATCCTGGCTTCAGCCTGACTGCAGTATGGCCATTGAGATCCTCTAGGAAGTTAATCAGCAGATGAAGACATCTCTTCCCTGTCTCCTTCTCACACCTGTCATTCTGCCGTTTAAGTAAGGCATTTAAAAATCATATTATATCTATTTAATTTCTGTACATTTTCTTATATTCTATATATTAGTTACTACAAATCAGAAAAAAATACAATATTTGTCCTTTTGGGACTAACTTATTTCACTTAGCATAATGGTTTCCAGTTACATCCATTTTGTTGCAAAAGACAGGAATCTTTCCTTTTTACAGATGAGTGATATTCCACTGTATAGTCACAGCACATTTTTCTTTTTCTTTTTTAAGAATTATTTTACTGTCATTGGAAAGTCTGATATACAGAGAGGAGGAGAAACAGAGAGGAAAATCTTCCATCCATCGATTCACTCCCCAAGTGGCTGCAACAGCCGGAGCTGCACTGATTTGAAGCCAGGAGCCAGGAGCTTCATCCGGGTCTCCTAAGCAGATGCAGGGTCCCAAAGCTTTGGTTCATCCTCGATTACTTTCCCAGCCCACAAGCAGGGAGCTGGATAGGAAGCAGGGCTGTTGGGATTAAAACTGGCACCCATATGGAATCTTGGCGCATGCAAGGCGAGAACTTTACATTTTCCTTTATGCACTTATCAGTTGATGAACATCTGGGCTGATTCCATATCTCAACTCCTTCATATGCTGATTTCATTTAAGTAAATTTTTAGGAATGGGCTAGGTTTTAAACATCTTACAGCAGCTGGTTCCCTTACACTTCTTTTTCAGGATTTCCTTGTCTATTCATACTGGTCTGTGTTTCAAAGAATTAACAGATATATTTTTTTAACACTTATAAATTCACAAAAGAATTAAGTGGAAAGTAAAGCATATTCCCTTATACTCTGTCATCTCCCAATTTCCCCTAATATTAACATCATACATTAGTGCTACACATTTGTTACAACTGATGATCCAGTACTGACACATCACTATTAACTTCATATTTTGCTTTGGGCTTCACTCTTTATGTGGTCAATTCTGTGAGATTTGACATGGATTCACCACTACAACATCTTGCAGAATAGCCTTCTCACTTCCCTAAAAACTTCCTGTACTCCAACTACTCATCCCATTCTAACTCCCACTACATCCATTGGCAGGTGGAATTTCACTGGGGTTCCTTGAGTTGGCAGTGGGAGTGGGCTTATTGAATGTGGGCTCTGAATAGCTATGCAGAATAGTTTTCTGGGTTTTTCTATCAGGACAAGCAGCTCTTAGAAGAGGTTGGGAGAATGTAATTCTGTGGATACCTGCCAGTCTGAGCTACAAAGTCTCAGATGGTTAATGGTAGAAAGGATGAAATATCCAACCAAAAGCCAGAAAATCAGCTAGTACAGAGATCATAATATATGACACAATAAGAACATTAAAGGCAATTTGTAAAATTAAGAGAGCAAAATAACTTGGGAGTGGGGCAGAACTAATGGGTAGTTTCAGAAATATGGAATTGGAGTAATCATAATTTTTACTTAAATCCTTTTATAGAAATGTATGTATGTGACCACCTGGGTATCACAAAATTTAGTGTGAACAGATATATAAGAATATATGGCATAGGTGTGAGAAGGTTAGGACACAGAGAAGCAAATGCCATCATTGGGAGTATTTACTATGAGCCAAAGAAAGGAAAGGAATAATACACTGTGAAAACTTAAACAGTTGTTTTCTCAAAGATGACTCATTTTTCATTTCAATATAATTTCTCACTTTCCCTGCAACCTCCTCCCATCCCACAGATCTTATTGTTCTTTTCATTCTGACTCCTGACATCATTCTTGTGCATGTCAGGAATAGGATAATTAATCTTTAAATCTCCTATTAAGTTATCACGATGGCTCAGGTAAAAAGTGATTATTCATGAACTGACTTAACAGTTGACATATAGAGGCACTGTCCACGATGTAATTGGATGGAGGACGAAACAGTATACAGACAAAAGCGGCAAATAATTGTTTAGATTGAAGTCTCACATTCAAATGGCTGTTAGAGTCAGGTTTGCCATGTAAAGACTATTAGGTGTCACTATTAGGTGGAGGTGAGTGATTTTCCAAAATGGAAATTTTACATGTTGGTCTGTATCCTTTAATGTATAATGATGGTGAAAATGGTAAGCAAACTCTATGCTTGATTAGGGTCAGCCAATCACGGCAAGTCATTGGAAAATCTGTGATCAGATTGCAAGACAGAAAAATAAAAGCGTTATCTTTGGGTTATCTTTTTAAATGTGCCTCCTCCCTTCATAAGATCAAATCATGAGTACTATCAAAGGCCAAGGTAAGGACTTTGAGGTTGATACTGAAAGGGTGGAGAAGAAATTGGAAGCTTGTCGGCAGAAAAGGGTCACTCTGAAAGATTTGAGAGGAAGGTCTTGTCTAAAGTCACAACCTAAAGTCTTCCAGGAAAATCTGCCTTTACTGAACTCTGCCGTTCTCCCTACCACTTGTTCTTTCCTTAGAAATGCTCTTCATGTGTTGATGTGTTCATGACCCTCCATTCTACTCCAAACCACACATGGGAACATTCTCCGTGGTTATAGGGCTACTTTTCCTAAGAAATCTGAAGCCTATATAATTTTGATCATGGTATCCAAGCGCATGAAATGTCTTTGCTGCTTTAACAACGTTTTTCTTGCCTGATCTTCAGGCCATTTAGAAGATATGAAGCTGAGATCAGGTCTTCCGGATAGCTCATCTTCCCATGTGACAGAACAAGTAATATGGTTTTGCAACTTGACCTAATTATTCAACACTATACTTCTATCTTTCAGAGAATCCTGAAGGAAGGACCTTTGCTGAAGAATTGTAGCTCCCTTAAGAGATGGAAACTTCGATATTTTCTGATTCAAGGACAAAAACTCTACTTTGCACACCATCCAGCGGTAATTTATTAACTTAATCTTGTCAATTGGGTTAGTGGGTCAGTGTCAGGAAATGTTTGCCTGGGGAGATGGGCCAATAGGTAAAGACGTGTTGGCAAACATTACAGTATAAACTGAAACCTGTTCTTGCGTCGGTGTGTCCTTTTTGACATAAATGAGGCATCTTTCTTCTCTCTTTGTACTTCCCATTGCCCTTCCCTTTCACAGATTCCCTAATCAGTAGATGATTTTATTTTACATTTTACTTTTTTACATTTTATAATTTGCTTTTATTCTACATTTTAAGCAAGTTATGGTTCCAGCAGAAAGTATAGCCTTTAGGGATTGCAAGCTTCCCCAATTACTCAGCCATAGATGTAGCATACTAACCTTGTGCTTGTTATGGGTCTTATTGAATGCCCATGTATCATAGGCCTGCTGGAATTTTATATTCATGGGCACCAAGTGGCAAAACATAGAGTGAACGTGTATGGTGCACAAATTACTTCTGCTCATACACAGGAGTCATTGTCCCACTGCATTTTACTTATAAAATGCAAGCTCAAGGATAAAATTAAGAATTTCAAGATGGCAAGAGCAGGTTAGTAAGGCAAAGCTGGGACCCTTCTGAACATCAAGCCCTGTGTAAGTGTGCAAGATATGTAGTGATAAAAGTGGTTCTGTATGTATCTTTAATCCCGATTCCTTGCTTCTGGGTGGATGGCATCTACTGTGTCCAATGCATAAGGAGACAAAGATCTTAAACTGGATGCAACTAACAACACGATCAAAGTTTACATCACAGGAATAACTATTTGCTCCACTAGGCGCCTATCCCAAATCTATCTTCTGCTGCATTACCCTATCTTTGAATAATTCTACTGACCAACCCAAGCATTCCTACCAACCTATGGAAATGTTTTGGAAAAAGATGTATTTCAGTTTAGTTTCTTATTTGTCACATGGGTTATCAGCAAAAAAAATGCCATCACGTTGTTAGATGAATTGTAGCCTTCAATTTAAATAACTGATTGAATAATAGCTACTGAAAATGCCTTTCTAGGTATTGTGCATGTGGCTCTGCATGTATTTGATTTTTCAAGTCTTTTTGCCTCATTAACCAGATAACTCCTTGCCCCCTTATATCTTTCTAGTTTGCACACTTCGAAACAATTGATCTGTCTCAAGTAACCTTAGCAGAAAGCAGTTGTAGAAACCTTTGCCACAGTTTTTGTGTAAGTAACATATGGAATGACTGAATGGGCATGGGTGGGGGACACCTGAGAGGAAGCATTGCCATACCCAGTTGTTGCCTTTTCAGACTTCAGATTTCCCAGATCTGTTTTAAGTTTAAAATACTATTATTTTTAAAACATTTTCTACTAGCTCACTGATAAGTAGGAAAAAGTGATATGCTTGATATTTTCTGAGGTCAGGGATGTGTGTGATTATTATGAAAATCAGCCCTGCTGATGAAGAGGATTCAAAAGAATATCATAGGGAGGCTTTCAAGACACTGCTGTTATAAAGAGAATCAGTATAGTTGGATGAAATAGATGAGAAGCGAAATCCAAAGCGAAATCTATCCCCATGCTGTGATGACTGATGAGAGAAACTAAAAAATAAATAAAAAGCAAATTATCTAGAATAATATTCAAGTGCTTGGTGCAGCTGAAATGTCATATATGAATTTGGTCATTCCAGAGACTCCAGTTTGGAACATTCTCAGGAATTCTCTGACCTACCACCCATATCTGTCTCAATCTCAGTGATGGAGACTAAAGCTTTTCTTCACACAAGCAGAAGATTGTTCTTGGCAGACTGCTGCATCCATGGTTGGTTCATGTTTCATCCACCTGTAGAAAGAGAGCAGCTGGATCTAAGGAGGAGCTCTTGCTTTCTTTCACTTCTTTTTCATTATATTACACAGATCCAGGGTAAAGCTAAAGGTTCTGTTGACAGGTACCCAAAAACCTGAAGTCTGAGTGAGGAATACTTATTGATTAATTGATTTATATTTCAAAAGAGTTACAGAGGAGAGCCAGGGAGATCTTCCATCTGCTGGCTCATCCCCCAAATGGCTGCAATGACTGGAGCTGAGCTGTTCTGAAGCAAGGAGTCAGGAGCTTCTTCTGTGTCTCTCATATGGCTACAGGGTCCCAATGACTTAAGTCATCCTATTTTGCTTTCCCAAGCCACAAGCAGAGAGCTGGATGGAAAATGGAGCAGCCAGGACATGAACTGGCAATAATATTGGATACTGACACTTCAAGATTAGTGCCCTGGCCCTGGTCCCAAAGGCATGGTCGTGAAAAGGGTACAGTTAGGAGTCCTGCTTGGTGGAATATGGAGTTACATTGTTGCCAGCATCCCATAAGAGCACCAAGTCAAGTTCCAGCTGTTCCATATCCAGCTACCTGCCACTTTGCCTGGGAAAGCTGAAAAGATGGACCCTGCACCCTCTTGGGAGATTCCTAATGGAGTTCCAGGCTTCTAGCTTTAGCCTGGCCCAACCCGAGCTATTGTGGCCATTTGAGGAGTGAACCAGCAAATGGAATATCTGTTCTTAGATCTCTGTCTCTTTCAGAAAAAAAAGGTCAGTGCAAGGTTTGCAGACACTCTATTTTCATTTAAGGCAGGTAACGGACAATATCAAGCATTCACCAGGGAGCTTTATTCACTATGATGTCCCAGAGAGCCTCAAAAACATCAGGGCAGGGCTCCCCCCATTGTGCCTCCCAGTCCATCTTGCCCACACACTGGCATTCAGTGTCTGGTTCTTTAGAGACTTCATAGAATGTGTCGGGGTTCGGGGTGGGGAGTTAAATAGTGAGAGCCAACTAACAGAGTGGCATTTTGCTTAGGTTATCACACCAGAAAGAAACATCACCCTAGCAGCGCCGAGCCGGAAAGACATGGAAGAGTGGATCAATGTCATAAAGACTGTCCAACAAGGAGAAATTCGCAAGGTAAGAAGCTGGTGGAAACTTCTCACAGTTTTTCATAAGAAAGTTATCTTTTAGTCAAGGGAATGATAAAGTGGAAGCAGAATCCATCTGGCACAGAAAGGTAGAGAGCATTAAGACACCTGTTGAGTGTAACATTGATAATTATAATACACTATTTTATTAATATAATTCACTTAGACTTTGCTAAGCATGTAACCTAGATGCCTCTGTATATATCCACTTACTAAGTAGATGTCTTATATGCCTAATAGATTAGACGCTTAAGAGGTATGCTTGAAACTAACACATGTGCCCTTAAGTTAGGAAAGCCGCAGGTAGCAGTCCTGAGTCTGTAAATGACTTCAGTAACAGCTGAGGAAAATGAGGCTCAAAAAGTGAAAGTAATCAGAACAAGGAAAATGTAAGCACTTAGTACTAAAGCCAGGATTCAGACCTAGACTTCATGACTTGGAACCTTATGTCCTTTATATCTATGTCATTTTGGCCTGTTTTCTTTCTTTCTTTATTTTTTTTTTTAAGATTTATTTATTTTATTGGAAAGTCAGATATACAGAGAGAAGGAGAGACAGAGAGAAAGATCTTCCATCTGATGATTCACTCCCCAAGTGAGCGCAACAGCCAGTGCTGCGCCAACCAAAGCCAGGAACCAGGAACCTCTTCTGGGTCTCCCACGCAGGTGCAAGGCCCCAAGGCGTTGGGCCATTTCTCCACTGCTTTCCCAGGGCACAAGTAGGGAGCTGGATGGGAAGTGGAGCTGCTGGGATTAGAACCAGCGCCCATATAGGATCCCGGCGCATTCAAGGCGAAGACTTTAGCTGCTAGGCTACGGCACTGGGCCCCTGTTTTCTGTCTATCAAAAAAAAAAAAAATTGGTGGGAAGAGCAAGGAGCAGTACGCCCCTCCCCAAAGTTTAGCGGGTTCTTTTTCTCCCTGGAAGAACCCACCTCTGGCCACTGCTCTAAGCAACAAATGGATGCCCTGCTGTCATCAAAACTTTGAATTCAAACTTTGAATATATTTATCAATTAGTAGCTCTTTAAGTTGTAAAAAAGGAAGGGATTTGTGTCCATTATTTGCTTAGAACAATGTCTAACGCAAAGTTGGGGCTCAATAAACATTTTCTGAATTTGTAAATGGATCTCAGGGAACTATGAAAGCCAGAGTTTTGAGCAGAGTTTTGCTGTGATGGTTTTGGAGATAAAGAGGATTACGAATTCAGCCTTTAGAAGAACCTGCTGCCTGAAATCATAACCGAGAGTGAAGGATTGTTCCAGGCATTTGGGATATGGCAATTTGGCCAAGATGCAGTTTAGAAATAAAAATAATGTCATTGCAAACTTTGCCTATTCACTCTCCTATAACTTCTCTGCTTTTGACAGTCTCACGACTGTACATTCTGCTACCTGTGATTATAGTGGGGAAACGACAATCTGGCTCCCCTGGGGCCTTTCTGGGTAACATTCAGGTCTCTTTCAGACCTATGACGTATACACTTAGTTGAGGTATCCTTTGCTTAGTGTCTGATGAAGGTTTTTATATGAGCTAGCCCTCAGTATCTTCTTCTTCGTTATTTCCTTTCCTGGTGAAGCACACCCCTTCCAGCATCTCAAATGAGTTCATCATGACACAATGGTAGAAGCAGACACAAAGAGTTCTGAATTCTTTGCTCCTTTCCATCCTCAACCTTACGAACCAATCCATTTGCTTCCCTTTGTTTACTTCTTTTCAAACTAGAGGGCTTCTCATAAATCATAAAAGATAACATATAATATTATTAATTGTAATAATTACTCCAGGAATACAAACCTACTAGAGAAAATCATCAGAGTTGATGTGCCATTCCTTACTTCATTGAATTAAACAACTAGGTATTAGCTACCCAGCACAAAGTTGAAAGGGGAAATAATGATGTGCCTGTTTACTCTCTTGGAATAGTTGAGTCTGAGGTTGTAATCACAATCTTTGTGGAAGCTGCCCTAGGGACCTAAATCTATTAAGAAACACTTTTAGCTGATAGTGAAATGTCTCCCTGCCAGCATCTTAGCAATTCATCATGTTTGAGGCTTAAACAGCCAAATATGCTTTCTCCCACATGCACTTTATCTTGAACAGTCCTTTCTACCCTGTCACCACCAATCCCTGACAAATGGGATGGGGAAAGATTAATTACAGACTTAGTGGTCTATTAAAGTAGTGACAAAATAATTGAATAACCTACTGGGCACTAGTCAGTACATATTAATGAGCCCCACTAGGTGCCCAGTTCTGTGCCATAGAGCTACAAATAAGGTGAAACCTTGGCTCTTGGTCTCTATAGTATTCTAGGTGATTGAGGAGACAAGATATACACAAAAGAAATGATCAAATGACAGTATTCAAGATAAATAGTTTTCAGAGATGCTAAAGGCAACACTTGATTGATTGCCAGATGAATGAAACGGACAATGAAGTGATATGTGAGTTCAGGGGAAGAAGAGAGATAGATATGGACTGGAGTCCTCTGGGAAGTGTTGACAGACAATACTTGAGACTCACCTTGAGAAATTGATAAAATTGTATTGGTAACAGGGGAGGGTACCAGGGAAAGTCCTGAATGAGAGACCTGGTATAGGCATAAGCCAAGAAACAGAAAACAGAATTTGTTGCAATGTAGGGAGTTCAGAAGTATATCTGGAGAGGTAGATTGGGCTTGAATCTGGAGGATTTTTCAATGCCAAGGTAAAGAATGAGGAAGATTTTGCAATATGATCAAAGTCCAATTTAAACAGACTTGGATAGGGAGACCTTTACAAATAAATATAGGATGGATTAGATAATGGCAATTCGGAGGAGAGACTAGAGCATAATTCAAACAAAACAGATTGGGGACTTACCCAGAATCAAGATAGGAATGGGGGACAAATAGTAGACACTGATTGGGTTGGGCAGGGTTTGCAAGTGAGAAATATGTAAGAAAAAGAAGAGAGAGGAGGCACAGACAGGCCTCAGTTGGCGGGGGGGGGGGGAACTAGGGGATTCAGATAAATAAAAAGAAAAATGGTAGTATGTTGCTGGTGGGAAGACTAGATGACAAAATTAGCTCTTTCTAATGAATTGACATGGAACCATTGACTATGAAAAAAGAGGAGGACTGTGAAAGTCATCTAGACTTCAGATTCTATATTCTAGGGCTTCTTGAGATCATAAATCATGTAGTCTTTATTTAAGCCCTTCCAAAGACTTGGGGCTAAGTTTCTTGCAAAGAAAAAGGCCATTCAGTGTTCCAAAAACTCTAAGTCTCAAGAAGTCTTTTCTTGGACTTTGGCCCAGAAGAAAAGCGAACTTTCTAAAATGTACTGTGAACTGCAAGAATGCCATGGGCTGCCTCATGAGCTAGAAAGCTCTCTGTCACTGAAAGTATTATAATAAATGCATTTGGGAGACAGCACTGTAGTATAGCCAGCAAAGCTGCTGCCTGCAACAGCTGCATCCCACAAGGGTGCTGGTTACGTACTTGGCTGCTGCACTTCTGATCTAGCTCCCTTCCAATGAACTTGGGAAAGCAACAGAATATCATAAATAAATGGTTTAGACTACCAACATGTGAATTTGAAAGGGACACAGGCAGTTCATTGTAATTCACCTCTGATGTCCTAAAATTCATGTCTTCACAAAGTACATTTATTCTATCCAAACAACTCCAGAAACCTTAGCTCATTTCATCACTAATCCTAAAGCCCAAAGTACCCACACTAAAGCCCATAGTAGCCCACATACATACGCCATTCAAATCAAATATGAATGAGACATCCTGAAGCAGAATTCTCCAGCTGTGAATCTGTGTAATCAAACAAGTTGTGTATTTCCAAGATGCAAGGGTGGGAGAGGCACAAGCTAGACCATTCTAAAAGGGAGAAGTAGGGAAGAAAGAAAGGATGATGAGTCCTGAGCAAGTCTGAAATATAGCAACACAATCTCCATAAGTTCTTAAGGCTTGAAAATAATCCTGTTTTTCCCCATGCTGTCTTTCAAACACCCTAGGGTGGCAATGTCCCCTACCCCTACTTCCACTGCCCCAACAGGACAGCAGGACACTGCCTATACTGTGGTTCTCCAGTGGGCTCCATCAATGTCATGGTTACCTGCTGGGGCAAAAGTCACATGATGTCTCCATATGACATGCAACTGAATGGCTCCATCTTTGCAACTCTGTTGGACATTGATCTCATCCTTTCAAATAGAGGGAGGTGCAACCCCGCCCCTCATGCCTGTATACCCTGGGCCTACGGTAGAAGTGAGATGTTATCATTTGATCTAACATCTGCCACAAGGTGGCATGATTAAATCAAGCTAATTAACATTTATGTCACCTTGCATACCTGTCACTTTTAATGGTGAGGCTTTTGAAATATATTCTGATATTCTGAAATATGTGATGCATTGTTATCAACTATAATCATCCTGCTGGGCAATATATCTCCAAATGTTTTCCTCTGTATCTGAAACTTTGATCAATGATTGTGCTTTGCCTCTTTTGCCTTGTACTTCCCACTTGTATGAGTTCAACTTAGAGTTCACATACATTTTTTTTTTCTGTGCCTGGATTAATTCACTTAACATGGTGTCCTCCAGATTCACCCTTGACAAGATTTTCCACTTCTTAAAGGCTGCATAATATTGCGCTGTAGGGATATACTACATTTTCTTTACCTAGTTATTTGTTGATGGACACATAGTGCACTTTCATAGCTAAGCTACCATTAACAATACTGTAATGAACCTAGGAGCACAGATATCCCTTTGACATACTGATTTCAGTTCCTGTGAATACATACCCAGGAGTGGAAATACTGGTTTATTTGATAGTTCTAATATTTTGTTTTGCTGAGCCACATAGAGTTTTCCATAATAACTGTGCTAATTTACATTCCTACTAATAATTTTGCTAAGATTTCTCATTTCTGCATCATTTTTAATGCTTGTTATATTTGCCTGTTTTGATAAACATGGTATGTCATTGT